AAGTGATGAATTCTGTGATAGCCGCACGGAGCTTCTTCTTCGCATCGGTCAACTCCGAAGTATCCTGAAATTCGATAAAAAAATTGGATTTTCACCACCCTAGTGATATGAAAAACATATTTCGCGACTCGTACAGGCCGCGAATATTATCGCGTTTTTCATCGGGTTTTACGCCACTTCGCGTAAAACGGGTTGTGAAACTCCATTGTTGGAAGAATATATGCGCGCTTTCTTCAGCTGAGCTCAGCAGTTCATCTACCAATTATAGGAATTCACACACGAATGCTAATGAAAGTTTGCGAAAAATTGCCGAAAATTTCCATAGAATTTTCATATCATCATCAACACAGATAGTGCTCATGTTTATATTTTCTCACACTGAAAACACCTCACAAGAAAGCGGCAACATTTTTATTGTTGTAGAAATGCGCATGAACAGTGATTATGAAAATCCACTAAAATGATATTCGTTTTTCAGACAAAATTTTACACACATGCACTGCACATATATAACTGTCGATAATAAAGAGATTAACAGCTACTGTTGTTGCGATATTATGGAGTTGATAATGAAGAGATTAACAGCTACTGTTACGATCAGATTATTCATAAAACTTTCGGCTGAGAATTCAAGTATTGCACCAAATTTATGGACATACTTACAATGAGAACCAAACAAATACGCATATCTAGATTTCCGGTATGGCTTTATTCAATTTGAGACTAATACGACTATAGACTGCGGAACGCTTCTGAAACGTTGGTGTCAATCGATTCACATTGTTATCATGTTGATATTACTCAAAGTTGACTTCCGACAAACTCCCGAAAAATTGAACGTTAAGTTGAAAATTCTACTTCTCATAACTGGAGGTTTCACCCGTTTTACGTGAAGTGGCGTTATACTTCACGTGAAAAACGCGATTTGAAGTGATTTCAAAAATCGCCTACTCGGCGAATTACTCCGAAAATACCACCTTATTTCACGTAAAGTGTCTACAATACTCACTACTTTTTACATGTGTTTATCGCGAAGTGATTGTGAAATTTGTTTTTCACTATAGGGATCAAACTACGCTGTATACAAAATGGCGTACGCTCTCACTCACTCCAGGAAGAGGGCGTGCGATCCTCGACGCCTTGGCACCGATGATTTCAACGAGTTTTGGTATCTCTTCGCGATACGTGATAACATCTGATGCTTTATCCGCGATAAACGGGAAACAGCAATTCTCCACAAGCTGAAAGCAAATACACGTATGAGTTTAAATATCGCCGCTATTTTCTCACCATAAAAATTGTGTTCAGAATTTCCACTTTGTTTTTCTTTTCATCCTCATAAAACTGAACAAATCTCATCATCAGCTCAGTCAAATCCTCGAGCTCCGAATAACGCCAACCCTCGTTGTGGCTGAAATGACCGCGCGCCATGAAATTCATCAACAATGGAGTTTCATCCGTGATATGAAAAACACTAGTGAAAAACATATTTCACAACTACTGCATAGTGTGAATATCGCGTATTTCACCTAGTTTTACGCCACTTCACGTAAAACGGGTGAAACTTCAATATTGGAATATACGCCCGCTTTCCTCAACTGAGCTCGGGAGTTTATACACGAACCAGGGTAGGAATGTACAGAAAACAAAGCGAATTTTCTCCCATAATTTTTATATTTTCGCCGACACATGAAGTTGACTTTGCTTTTTTTCCAAATTATTATATTGGAGTTTCACCCGTTTTACGTAAACTGGTGTAAAACTCCGTGAAAAACGCGATATTCACACTACGCAGTAGTCGTGAAATATGTTTTTCACTAGCGTTTTCATATCGTGGGTGAAACTCCATTGTGCTAATTATATACTTAATCAACATTACCATATATTATCAATTATTGGAGTTTCACCCGTTTTACGCGAAGTGGCGGAATACTCCATATATCACTACTCTACTAAGTTACCATATATTATCAATGATTACATTGTGCTAAACTTGTGCATATTTTCCTATACTGTTCATAAAAAGGCCTTCCAGAATGTAACTAACCTCGTCGCGATGTGTTTAGCCACTTCGATGTGTCTTCGTATGAGTCCTTTAGTGTGAGGAGCTTCCATCTGGAAGAACATTATCTCAAATGCAGGGTGGTGTTTTCCGATAGCTGTTGTCGATGACATGGGATGGTGGTCTTTCCTGATGCTCGCTGATTTCCCGATGATTTGGTCGGTGACGCATTCAAGCAATGAAGTTTCACAACCCGTTTTACGTGAAGTGGCGTAAAACTCGGTGAAAAACGCGATATTATTCGCGGTGATATGCAGTAGTTGTGAAATATTACTTTCACTAGTGTTTTTCATATCACTAGGGTAAAACTCCAATCTAATGGCGGACCGAGCGAAGCAACAACAGACATTTTCGCGTTGCGCGTGCGTGCGGAATTATTCCGATTTATCTACCGAGCGAAGGAGGCCACCAGACAGATCGGACGACTCCTCTATGTGCCGAGGTTTGCCCGAAGATCTAAAAGCTCGCTTGTGCGAACAGCTCTAAGATATATGGACGAAAACCTTTTTTGACGGAAAAGTGAACCGGGGGACATATACAAAATATATTGATTGAATCAATTGACTGAGCGTGGACTAAGCGAGCTCCGCCCCTTGGTAGGGTTGGGATAGCCGATATACGGAATTTCAGCTCCAGATGAAAAGTTATGCGGTGACACGAGATGGTGACTCTACATTGTGCATACTATGAAAGTGTCAAGTGACTTGATTAATGTCGCACTATACAGTAGTCGGAGAGTGAAATATATTTTTCACTAGTGTTTTTCATATCACGGGTGGAACTACAATAAGCTTCTTGGTGTGATACTTAAACCATGGGTAAAATGCGAACGAGAAAAATGACCGTACACAATTTTTTTGTGGAAACAGAATTATACACGTTTGACATGGTAGATTATACGAGCCACAAGTGAAACGCTCATCAACCTCAACCAATCAAACAAATAAGTACACAATATGTGATGAACCTGCATTAATCACGCAGGGAACTCGAGTGTGTCTAAGGATCTCTGATAATTTGGTGTATCTCGCTCGCCTGGGGATAGCCGTGTGCTGTCCCATCGTGGCAGCGCGACAAAGATCTCGCTCGCCTCGTATTCTATTGTTGAACTATAATATTATTATTCTCGCTCGGATGCATCTATCTAACGGTTTTGGATACTAGAAACGGTTAGATCCGTCTCTGGTTTTCTCTAAGCTAGGGAAGCTAGTATTCTAGTGGTAATTGTTAGACTGGACTGAGTCCAGTGATTGATTGTGTGATCTGCTACCTCATCCTAACTCTAGTTCTACTTGAGTTAACCAGTCCTCACTAGTATCGCATCGTAATCTCTATTGCCTCACCTGATCGTGTTACAAGCTACACGGGAGGTTACTTAGATCTGGAATGAAATTGTCTAACCGTGATCGCTGTGCATTTCCTCATGATTCAACAGGTTTAACTCCCTCTACACCTCCGTCTAACGACGCGACTGAACCACCAAGAAGTACATCTACTTCAAGACCACTACTGATTTCTTCTAGTTCTACTCTAAGTCGTCCCGTACATTCTACCGGGATATCTTTCCGAGCCCCTATGCGCACTAGATCAACGTCTATGCCCGATCTTCGCAACGCTGATATCAAGAAGCCATCTGTTATGGCTTCCTCTGAAAGGCGTGTTCGTTCTCTACCATCTAGAGCGGATAACATACAGCACCATTGTGCCGTATTTGACTCTAATGAATCTCTACGTTCTTATGGGTCGGTCTACTTCTCCCCAATGACGTCAGTTATGTCACCACGGTTAGTATCCTCGTCTATGGATGCTGTAATTTCGACTGAACATGTTGATCAGTCTATGGAAGTACGTCCACTTCAAGAAGATCAACCTCTAGACGCTGAGTGCAAGGCTATGAGATATCCTTCTATTGACAGCTCGTCCCACGAGTGTCAACGTTCTGTTAAAAGTATGATCGGGTCAATTGCTTCCCCAATGGAAGCTCTATCTGTACCACCTTCAAGGCAATCAAGTCGAACTCCTACGTTCGGCTCTAGTTCTGAACGTTGTGATATTGGTTGTACTACTAGCATTCCTTCTGTTAGTGGTCTAGACACTACCATAGATCTCGGTACTGTCTATATGACTGGTAATGTTGTCCGTACGCCTGCCTCTAGAGCTGTTTCTAAGAGCAAAGCTAACGACAAGTCTAAGTCTAAGATTGGTCGTCCTCGATCTGGAAGCTTGACCCTATCTAAACGCTCCATCGAGAGTGAAGACAACATCAACAATGAGGTCTTATCTGATGATGATCTACCTGTCGGTAGTGATCTAGAACCTGAAGTTCTCGACACGGCTACTGATGATGGTAATGTTAAGAAAGCTGTTTCTACCGACACATTAACTATGGTTGCTAATGGTCAAGGCAATTCTGAATCGTCTACTCAGATTGCCATGGTACAGGGTGGTCTACTACAGCAGTCTATACCTTTAACAGGACAAGCTGCTCAACTACCCGAAGGCGCTACCAATTTCAATTGGAGAATGGTGCCAGGTCCTGAAGGGCAACTCACTCTAGTTCCCTTCTCTATTGCTATGCCTTCTGACGGTCCAGCTCCACCTCTGTTGGGAGCTCTCAAGGCCCATTCTGGAGGGTCTCAACCCCGGTCATGCTCTAACGAAAAGTTATCGAGGCATTCTAAGCACTCGAGTTATGAGCCTCAA